ACTCGGCTAGCAGGGCAGGAATTGCAAAACACACTCCCCCTCCTCCCAAATCCATATAAATAGCGCTCGCCCGGCGGCTGGAAGGTTAGAGAAGTTTCTCGGCTCTGAGCTCAGGCATTTATTGCAGCTCTAGCCTGGGAGCGGCAGGGAAAGTCGCACATAAGGCGCTGGGGGGCCAGAGGGGGGAGATAAGCTTTTTAATCTCGGGATATTAGGGTTTATTTATTTTTTTTCCCCTCTCCTGCCGAGAAGTTTTGTTTTTCTCTCCCTGGTCCCTGGGATTGCAGCCAGACAGGAAGCATTTTCTCGTGGCCAAAGAGCTCTCTCCGTCCTTCCTGCGCTCCTCCAGCTCCCAGCGATTCAGCCCTGAATTGATTTTCTTCCTTGTCCTTCACCTGGTGCCGGGAAGGAGGGGACCATCCCCGCAGCACCCACCTGCAGCCGCGCGCCCGTGTCCCACCCGGGGTGGATGCGTCTCCTCCGGGACGGGCTCCCGGGGGAAGTTTGCAGCCAGGAGCGGCCACGCAGAGGCTGAGGCTCCGTGGGAGAGCCCCCGAGACGCACTCGGACCCCTCCGAAGGAAACCATGGCCGACAGCCAGATGCCCTTCTCCTGCCATTACCCCGGCCGGCGCAGCATCCGCGACCCTTTTCGGGAGCCCGGCTTGACCTCGCGCCTGCTGGACGATGATTCCACCATGGCCCCCGGCTACAGCCCCCGCTTCGGGGGGTACCCCGAGAGCCGCAGCCCCGTGCCCTTTCCCCGTGAGCCCTGGAAGGTGTGCGTCAACGTGCACAGCTTCAAACCCGAGGAGCTGACGGTCAAAACCAAGGACGGCTACGTCGAGGTGTCAGGTGAGAGCGAAGGCACCGGGGAGGAGGAGAATGGGGCATGGAAAGCACCGGCTCAAGAAATTGCCATAAAATGCAAAAAATCACCTTTATTTTAAGCCAGCGGCAGCAGCCCCGTGCTTGGGAGCAGGGCCAGGGCTGCAGCAGGGCTTTGGGGCAGCCCCATGGGCAGCTGGGGGTGCCACGGGGGGGCCCGGCTCACAGGCCATGGTGGTTTGCTGCAAAAATGAAAAGAATAAGTCTGCTTTGGGGTAAATCTCCCTGCTTTCCACCCCGGCCAGCCAGGGAGGCTCCGCCGTGGGCAGTGGCACCCTGCAGCAAGCTGCCAAGAGGGGCCCCAGCTTGGCTGGGTTAATTATAGCTGGGGTGAGGCCGGCGTGGAGGGAGATTCCCTTTAAAGGGGCCGAGAGAGGGGCAGCTCCAGTGCTGGGAAGCGGGGGGCAGCCTCCCTGTGGCCCCCACCCCAACCCAGCCCCAAGAGGCCCCAGCCTGGGGATGAGCCAGCCAGAAGCACGTCCCTAAAAATTCAGTTAATGGTGGGCGCGGGATGCAGCACATTTGGGGTGCCCGCAGGCATCCAGCCCCGAGCACCCCTCAGCCCAGCACCCACCTCTTGCATGGCCCCCAAGTGCCCCGGGCTGAGGTCCCCAGGGAGGGGCTGGGGGCTGGCGGGC